ATTCAAAAATAGTCTTTAATATACAGTTAGTTTTGACAGTACAAAATTAGAAACAACCTAAATGTTTGAAAAATATGGGAAATGTTTAACAAATTATAGTATTTCCCTATTTAGGGGCTACTAATACAGCCATACATGGGTTGGTTTGTCTTCCTTTTTAGATTGCCAGCAAAAAGTCTTGACCAGATCACTGTAAATCAGTGATTCTCAACCGAGGAGGCAAGAAGAAGTGCTGTGACTCCTTCCCAAGGCACTGCAATTGGTAGGTAAAGTTTATACAACTATGATTCATGCTGCTGACATGGTGTCTAGGCAGACAGGAATGCTGAGCTGGGCTTTCACAGGTTTCCATGTGGTACAGACCACAGCTTGATACACACCAAGAAACAAGACTATGCATTTGCTAAGACCTGTGAGAACTTTGCTTTATGAGTATCTAAGAGAGTGACCAGGGCAGTAAATAGTTCTATTCAGACAATGACACTATGCTGAGGTGTCAACAGTGTAATAGCGTAATTACTATACATGCAAATTAATCCTTTCAAATGTGCTGCTAAAAATACTAGCACTTTGTTAAGGTTGTGCTGTAACAAATAAACACCCCAATTCCAGGGTTCTTTCTTAACCACATAACTAGTCCAATGAGGATGTTCCTGCTCAGCAAGTGATTTTCCTCCATACAGTGATTCAGGTACCCAGGCTCTTTCCAACTATAGCTCTTCCATCCTTAGAGCCTTGAAGTCCTGGCAGGTGGAGAGAAAGAATATGGAAAAGTCACCTCTTTACTGCCTTGTCCTGCGAGTGACACATATCACTTCCAGTCCCATTCTGTTGGTGACTGGTCACATATTCCTACCTAGGGGCATGAAGTGGTAGGAATGCAGTCCCTAGCTGAGCAGCCAAAACTTTGCAGTATGAAAGGAGGAACACACATTTCTAGTATATAGCCCACCTTCTGTGCCATGGCCACAAACCCAAAACAGTTGAGAACCACAGGGTAACAGGATTTTGTGGCTGTGCCACATGGAGAAGTGGTAAAATACCCAATACTGCCTCAATAGTGGATCAGTGTCTCCAGCTCCAAGCATTTTGTACACCGGAACATATATCAGGCCTGGTGGAGTTGAACAATGCCTTCTCATCATTTAAGAGACCAGATGGATGGAGCCTCTGCTCTCACTCCTCCCGTGACCATTCAGTTGGCCACCCTCCTGCTAGGACACTGTCCTTGCTGGGCAGCTCAGGCTCAGGCACTGGTCCCTGGTGCAATCAGTCGTCACTAGGGAAGCCGAGCAGGCTTCATTGTATGCATGTGGTTGAGAAGGTATAACTACTTCCTGGAAAAAGAACTGCATGGGACCCCTTTTCCTAGAGAGAGATTGTAAGCATGGCTGATACTTGAGGCTTTATGGACCGGCCAGTACATAGAATCATTAAGAAGCCGCCGGGCGCGGTGGCTCACGCCTGTAATCCCAGCACTTTGGGAGGCCGAGGCGGGTGGATCACGAGGTCAAGAGATCGAGACCATCCTGGTCAACATGGTGAAACCCCGTCTCTAACTAAAAATACAAAAAATTAGCTGGGCATGGTGGCGCGTGCTTGTAATCCCAGCTACTCAGGAGGCTGAGGCAGGAGAATTGCCTGAACCCAGGAGGCGGAGGTTGCAGTGAACCGAGATCGGGCCATTGCACTCCAGCCTGGGTAACAAGAGCAAAACTCCATCTCAAAAAAAAAAAAAAAAAAAAAGAAGCCACATGAGGACAAGAATCATAAGATGTGCTGAGCATTTTCACCACTGTATCCTCAGTACTTAGCACAGTGTTTTAAAAACCCTGCAGCATCCTCCTGGAGATGCACCCACTAGGGCCTCAGAGTGCTGCTGGTAGACTGGAGAAGAGAGGAAAGAGAAGCCACAGTACAGTACAGTTGAATAGTTACTTGTTAAATAAAAAGTTGAAAAGAATGAGTAAATGAATAAATACTCATGTTCTTGATAAATATTTAATAACATAGAAAAGAGTAAGAACAAAAGGAAAGAATTTGGGACAAAAATAGAAACAGTCATGTGTCACTTAATGATGAGGATACATTCTGAGAAATGTGTCCTTAGGCGATTTCAGCCTGCAATCATCATAGAATGTACTTGTACAAACCTAGGTGGTGTAGCCTACCACACAACGAGGCTGTAGAGTATAGTCGAGCACTCGTGGACTACAACCCTGAATAGCATACTGTAGACAAATTGGACACAATGGTAAGTATTTGTGTACCTAAACATAGAAAAAAACGTAGTAAAAATATGGCATAAAAGATTAAAAATGCTACACCTATGTAGGACACTTACCATCAATGGAGCCTGCAGGACTGGAAGTTGTTCTGGGTGAGTCAGTGAGTGAGTGATGAGTGAATGTGAGGGCCTAGGACGTTACTGTACACTGCTGTGGAATTTAGAAACACTGTACACTTAAGACTATACTATATTTAAAACAGTTTTTCTTTACCAATAATAAATTAACCTGGTCAGATGCAGTGGCTCATGCCTGTAATCCCAGCACTTTGGGAAGCCAGGATGGGTGGATCACATGAGGCCAAGAGTTCAACACTAGCCCAAACAACATGGTGAAACCCCGTCTCTACTAAACATACAAAAATTAGCCAGGCATGGTGGCACGTGCCTGTAATCCCAGCTACTCGAGTGGCTGAGGGACAAGAAGCACTTGAACCCGGGAGGTGGAGGTTGCAGTGAGCCCGAGATCACCCACTACGCCCTAGCCTGGGCGACAGAGGGAGCCTCTCAAAAAAAACCAAAATAATAATAATAAATTAACCTTAGATTACTGTAAATGTATGTTACAAACTTGTAAATTCTTTAAATGTTTGACTCTTTTGTAATAATACCCAGCCTAAAGCACATCTTGTTCAGCTATAGAAAATATTTTCTTTATATTTTCTATTTTTCAAATTATTTATTTAACTTTTAAAGTTTTTTGTTTAAAACTAAGACACACACACACACAAAAAAAAAAAAAAACTCAAGACACCAACACACATATTAGCCTAGGTCTGCACAGGGTTAGGATTGTCAATATCACTGTCTTTCATTTCTACATCTTGTCCCACTGAAAGGTCCTTCGGGGCAATAACACACATCTCCTATGGTAACAATGCCTTCTTCTGGAAAACCCCCTGAGAGAGCTGCCTAAGGCTGTTTTTAAAACTTTTTTTTAAAGTTTTACTGTTTTTTTTAATAAGTAGAAGGAGTACACTCTAAAATAATGATGAAAAGTATAGTATAGTAAATCCATAAAGCAGTAACATGGTCATTTATTACCATTCTCAAGTATTGTTTACTATACACAAGCGGTATGTGCTGTATTTTGATACAACTGGCGGCACAGTTGTTTACACCAGCATCACCACAAACACATGAGTAAAGTATTGTATTAGACAGCTACAAGGTCACTCGGCAAAAGGAGTTTTTTAGCTCTATTATAATCTTAAGGGACCACTGCTGTATACACGATCCATTGTTGGCTCAAACATTGTTAAGCAGTGAATGACTACTCAATTTTATAACGAGTATGATCATAATTATGTAAATATTTGTCATATATACATAAAAAGACTAGAAAGAAATATGAAAATGTTTACCTTTGGTTCATGTATTTATAAATCACATTTTATACATTAATATATTCTCCAAGCCTTCTAAGAGTAGAATCTTTGTACAGATTTAAAAGTTCTAATAAGTGTTATTGTTACTTTTAAATTTCTACCCAATGTTGTGTCCTGCAGGAATTACTCCCTGACCACTCCAAGGGGACTTGAAAGCCCCTCCTCAGTGTTCTCCTAGTATCTGATAGTATCCTCTACCATTCACTAAGCACACTGGATTTACATTGTTTGCTTATCTAACTCCCAAGCTCTTCAAAGGAAGAGACTGATACCTTAATCCCTGAATTCCCAGGCCTATGCACATACACTAAAGCACTCCTAAGGTCTGTGGACTAGATGAAGAAATCAGATGAGTAGGGGTATGCAAACCCAGGCATTCCTATTCCAAACCCAGTCGCATTCCAATCCGTGACAAAAGGGATCCAGAATTTCCTCCACTGATGACTGCGACCTGGGGACTGGGAAGTACTGTATATAGGAAGATCCTGGAGAGCTGTCCACTTGAATTGTCAGCACCAGGGCTGCATGGAAAGCAATAGCTGAAATCCAAGTTAGGATTTCCTGGCAACTGCCAAGATTAGTCAGAAGTGGCAGTTGGAGGATTCCCCGAGTCTGCTCATTCCTTTGGGATCACTCATTCCTTCCAAGGCCTCCCCTGGGAACAAAGGAAAACCCCAGAGTTTGGGACTGGGCTCTTTTCCACCAATAGCTGCTAGAAGCTTGTATTTAACCCTAAGTCACAAACCAAATAAAAGGAGGCGGGGGAGGGGCGAGGAGTAGGTAAGCATCCACTAGGAAACACTTAGGTTTTCTCTAAATTTATTCCAGAAAATTCTTCTAAAGGACTTTTAAGGACCACAGCATAATGCCTTGGAAACTTAGTTTTAAACTTTTTTTTTTTGAGACAGTGTCTCACTCTGACGTCCAGGCTGGAGTTAAGTGGCATGATCTCGCCTCACTGCTACCTCCGTCTCCCGGGTTCAAGCGATTCTCATGTCTCAATCTCCTGGGATAACAGTAGCCCACCACCTTTCCCGACTACTTTTTGTATCAGTAGAGACGAGTTTTCACCATTTTGGCCAGGCTGGTCTCGAACCGCTGACCTCAAGTGATCTACCCGCCCTTAGCCTCCCAAAGTGTTGGGATTACAGGCGTGAGCCACCACGCCCAGCAAGTTTTTAACATTAGCCACACTGAAACTGAACTATTGGTCAAGTGAAGCCACACAAAGAGCAGTAAATCCCCTGCTCAACGGAGGGTTTGTGACTCCCCTGGGTGCTGACAAGCCAAACCACACCCTCCCTCTGGCACCTCGAGGGCCCGGCAGGGCGGGGAGCCCGGCTGCTGGGGAGGTGCTGCCCCCCCCCCCACACCACCGGGCGCAGGCGGCCTAGACCCCGGGATGGACCTCCTAGGGCTAATCTGAGAACAACCAAGTCCTAGTGCCTCTCGGGTCCGTAGGGCTCCACGTGCCACTCCCTGCAAGGTCATCCAGAAAACAATTCCTACACCCGTAGGTGCCCACAGAGCCGGTACCTCTGGTTCTGCGCCAGCGTGCCCCACCCGCAGGACGGCCAGGCTCTTTGATTTCTACAGTCACCCACTTTCTAAAACCAAACCCGAGAGGAAGGGCAGGCCCAGGGTGGGGATGCCCTGAAATATTCGAGAGCGGGACTGTTCCTACTTAAGAGAAGTTTACAAGAACGCTCTGTCTGGGGCGGGCGAGGCCGCAGCGAGGCGGGTCCGGGAGCTAGAGCAGGGCGTGGGCCGCGCGCCCCGGGTCGGGGGAGTTGGGGGCAGGAAGAGAGGGAGGAGACAGGGCTGGGGAGCGCCCGGCCGAGCGCCAGCCAGGCTCCTCCCGCTGCCGCGCCGCCTCCCTCTCCCCACCCGCCGCACGTACTAAGGAAGGCTCACAGCCCGCTGCGCTCGCTTTGCCGCCCCGCGTCTAGCTAGCCCAGCGTCCGCCGCGCCTCGTCCAAGGTGAGCTCCGCCCGGCCCACGTGCCATTCCCGGATAGTCCCCAGCCCCCGACCTGCCGCCCGGGGCAACCCTCGCACTTGGCTTCTCGGAGCGTCCCGGGCACCGCAGGGCCTGGACGGGGAGCGGGCGGTGGGGAACCCGCTGCTAGGTGCTCCGGGCCGCACCCAGACAAGGCCAGCAGCGCCCCTCCCCGGCCCGAGCGCGGCCGCCCCCAGACCCAGGCGAACCGGAGGCGGGGATACTTGTCCTTTACGTGGGGACTGTGGTGCCGGTGCCCCTGGACCTCTTCCCTCGTCCCTTTTCCTCGCTTTACTCCCACCTTTCCTGCTTTCCCACTCGTCTCTCGGGTTACCGAACCCCTCCTGCTCGCCCCTGCCCTGGCTGGCGTGTTTCTTGGTGGGTTCTGCCCGCAGGGCAACCTTGGTTTGCATGTTCGTAGCCTCCACGCGGCTGGACAGCCGGAGCAGGCGCGGGTAGGACGAGTAGGGAGCTGGGGGCGTCCCTTCTTAAGGAGTACCCCTTAGTCCCTCGGCCAAACGGGCGTTTCACGTTGGGGCTTCCTGTTGTCAGCTCGATGGGGTCTTCCTGCTGAGGGAGGGAGGTCCGCTTGTTTTCTGTCTAAAGCAGTTTGGCTGCGGGGGGGAGAGGGGCGGTGTGAAGCGGTTTCTCTACTGAAAGGTTCCCTAGTTAACTTAATTAAATAACTGGAACCAGAAAGAGATGGCGGAAGAGCAGGCTATGATGAAGGATCTTCCAATCCTAGATTAATTTGGCCTGGTGCAGTGAGACAGACAGACTTGCCATTGGTACTTGGTTCACCACCTGCGCCCCGCGAAGGAATGGCGCTGCCCCTAGCTGTGGACACTGCTGCCCTGTCCAGCCTCAGTCCAGCTCTGCCTAAGTGAAACCAGGAGCTCTGCCTTGTTGGCTGGGGGTGGAATGCAGACCGCTCCAAGCCAGGGCAGCACAGGGGAGCCCTGAGCTAGACTCTGGGATGCATTAAGCCCACCCCGCTTTCTGCCCCCACCCAGTTCTGTCCCTGCGGGAGCTTCTGCAGGGCGTGGTTAACGCAGAGGGCTCCAAGATTCTCCTAGTGGTCTGAGGCCTGTGACTCAGCTGTGAGGCCCTGTGGGTGTGGCTGGCTGCAGATACTCACTGTGGATGGTTTGGACAGAACACTCCCTGAAGGAAAAGAGGAACTGTGCCATCTCAGAGGGCATTTTCCAAGAGGAAGTGAGTCACACCTGGACTGGCCGCCAGTCTGCAGGAGAGGTTTCTTGACTGAACTGTGGGTAAGGGCAGTAATTAGATCAGTAACCAAGGCCTTGGCAAGGCCGCTCTTCATTATCGGCCAGTATGCGCCTGGCACCCTGGCTCAGCCTTACTTGGGAGGTAGCCTGTCCCGTTAAGAGCTTTGCAGTTGTTGCGGATATTTTTCACCAGAGGCTTGAGTTTCAGCCTCCAGGAGTGGAGTTTTACGTTGTGTGCTTTAGGTGAGACCGGGCTCGTGGAAACATCCAGTCGGTGGGTGATCTTTGCTTCCAACATGTTTCAGCAAATTGTAAAAGACAATGCCAGGGGCTGGAGCGGGAATGAGTTCATGTAACTCACTGAAGTTTCTTCACGGGCCCTGCCCCCACCGATTCCTATCCGGTTTCTGTTTAATCATCCCTTCCCAATGGTGTATTTGTTCCTTCGCAGCCAGAGGGTAGTTTCTTCACGGTGGTCCTTGACCACCGTGGTCCTTGAGCCACCGTTTGGAGTTTCTTATTTCAGTTCTTGCCATCTGTTTTTGGTCTACTGGGCATGAAGCAATTGTTGGGTCTCACTCTGCGTTCGAGGTGATGCTCTTCCTAGCTTTTCTCGGACACACCAAATAGGCCCCTTTCCTCCAGCGTGCCGGCCTCTTGCCAGCCTCCTAAGCAGCCGCTCCAGTGGGGTCAGGCCTGGACTGGGTGGAGCTAAGACTGTGTGCCTCCCTGCTTTCTACTGACAGTTCAAAAAAATACGTCTTTTGTAGAGCACAACCCACTTCAAATACCCTTGGACACAGTCCAGTCTTTTAAAGCATAAAGTTGAGAGAAACAATGGAATTCTTTCAGGGTTATAATGTATAAATTAGCACTCAAAGTGCTGAGAAAGCTGGACTAAAATTTTAACATCTTAAGTTTCTCATTTTTCTGGGGACTCAACAAATTTAACAATCTCACATCAAAAGCAAAAAGAATTTACTTCTTTTAAAGAATTTTCAGAACTTTCTATTCCTTTACTAAATAAGTACCACCCACCCTACCAAAGGATTAAATAGCAGTTGTCACAATAGCTGTGTTGGCTGATTAGGCTGATGCCCGAGCATTCTTTAAGGAAAAATGGATGCACTTAGTTAGATTGGAGGAGGTTTCTTCAGAGTTCTTTCTTCCTATTGAATTGCATCTGAAACTTTCCTTTGCTGGCCAACTCTTTAGTGGGCAAGTTTTATTTGGTAAGAGGTGAGAGAGATGGCCTGGATCCAGATCCATTGCTTCAACTCATTTTTTCTGAATTCCCTTCAGAGATCAAATTCAAGAATGCCTTCTGGGTTCAATTAAAAAAAAAAATCCAAAATTTCTAAAGCAAAAGGAAGGAAATCTCAACATATTTTAAATAACAGGTGTTTGTTTTTACTGACAACCTCCCGTTTATTTTCTGGGTGGGCTGTAAGAAAACTGGACAAGATACAGAGAAGCAAAGCAAGTCCGACTCTCGGTCTTCAGAAGTGTCCTCTTTGAAACTGCAGCTGGGATCTGGGCACATGTCCAGAGCAAACATTTGAGATTGTTCAGGAGCAGACACTTTTCTGAGGAGGACTCCTGCTTCTCTGCTACTCTCAGGACAACCAAAATACATTATTATCGATTTCTTACAAATTAATCGAGCAGGCTCTATGCAGGCTCGAGCACTGGCTACTGGGACCCTGCTCAAGAAACCTGCAATCTGGTGAGGGAAGAAACAGAAACACAAATGACCAGAATTCACGCCAGATGCTTAAGTAGTTTCTATTAGCTGGTTAATTCCTCAAAGGCAAGCACCATGGAGAGAACGTGTGTATCTGTGTGTGTGTGAGTGTATGTGTGTATGAACACCCTCATGCCTAAAGCCACGTCTGGGACATTTAAAGTGGATGCTCAGAGTAGGAGACCCAAAAATGGAAAATTGAATTCCTCCTATGGTAACTAAATTTGTGGAGTCCAGAATTGTTTTCTATAGAGAAAACTATAAAGCGAAAGACGTCTCTGCCTCCCTTCTTAAGACCTGTTGCTCAGGCAGACAAGGTGGGCATGTATAGGCATCAGAATAGAATAATTCAATAAAAAGTGAGTGGACAGCAAGGCCGTTACATCCTGTGATGTTCAGCAGTGAGCTACACTAGAAAAGCATAAAGTAGAAGATGGGATGAATGAAAACATGGGAAAACAGCCAGTGTTAGAAGAGAAGGAGCAAAGTCATGTCATTCTGACCAGACCTGTTTAGCAGGACACATATTTTTCCTTTTGCGTATGGAATGTGCACTCCTGTGTACTCTACTGTTCCATTCATAGTTGAACCCTTTTGGGGCCCCTTTCCTGGCCCTTCCCAGCTCTCACATTGTCCTCCTGAGCTCTGAGCTCCGAGGTTTTCAGCCTAGTTCTAGGTAGTCACACGTGCACCTCAGCTACTAGCCAAGGGCTTGTGTGGTTCATTTATGCACCTAACAGTTATAGTGCTCCACGAATAAACGCAGAATAATTTGTAGTTCTTGGTCAAGAGGAGCTTAAATCTCAGACTGAGAAGTAAACAATTAAATGGAATGGAATGTTTCAGGTACAAGAGCAAGTTATTGGGGATAGAGAGTGCCCTGCTGCCTCTCAGCCTCAGCCCCAAAGCCCTCCTGTCAAAATGTGTCTAACCAGGATGCAGGAAGCCCACATCTGAACAGAGTTTGCTGAGTGGCTAGGTGAGGGAGGAAATGCCGATTAAAGTCCCTGAAGAGCTTCAGTTTCAGCAGCTAACAGTCAGTGCTGTAGTCAGCCCTGCCCAGGCAAGCCCCACCCAAGAACAGAGGGCCAGGCAGGGCTGACTCAGTGGGGCAACCAGTGGCTGCACTCCAACAAGAGCTACGTGATTCTCTAGCCAAGAGAACAGAGTTTTAATAACATTTTCCCCTTTCCTCTGTCTTAATTTAAAGCCAGTGTGCAGCTCCTTCTTCAAAACAGAGTTCCTTCTCTGGTGAGTGCCCTTTGGGGCACTGGTTACTGCAGAGACAAGGGCTTCTCCCCTAGTTTTCAATGCTATTTTCACCTCCTGGCTGGCCCCCGCTCTGTATCCTTATTGGAGAAGGTCTACTGGACAGATAGGGAGTCAGCTGGCTGCAATATTCACAATCCATCCACTGGGTAAAACCACTGGGGGAGAAGGGAAAAGGAGAACCCAGTGGAGCAAGGATGTAACTTCAGAGAGGAAAGCTCCATCACTTCATAATGGCTGTGGGCAAGAGAGGCATGGGATTGAGTGCCATCAGACCTAAGCATTCATGCAGTGTGAGTTAGACTCACCTTGCTCTCTTGAAGAAGATATTCAAGGGTGGCCAGGATTTCCTGAGCTGACAACTTGTACTTCTTAGGAGGTCGTAAATTAGCCTTTTTTTTTTTTTTTTTTTTTGAGACAGAGTCTCACTCTGTCACCCAGGCTGGAGTGCAGTGGCACTATCTCAGCTCACTGCAACCTCTGCCTCCCAGGTTAAAGTGATTCTCCTGCCTCAGCCTCCTGAATAGCTGGTTCTACAGGCGCATGCCACCATGCCCGGCTAACTTTTTGTATTTTTAGTAGAGTCCAGGTTTCACCATGTTAGCCAGGATGGTCTTGATCTCCTGACCTTGTGATCCGCCCAACTCAGCCTCCCAAAGTGCTGAGATTACAGGCATAAGCCACCACGCCTGGCCCCTAAATTACCCTTTTTAAAATTTAGAGGTCCTTACCCTGCTGCATTCCCTTTCTTAATTCTGTGGCTTTGCAGTGCACTTTCCTTCTGCTCGGTCCTCTGAAGGAGGTAAACTAGGTGCCCCACCCAGTTCCAATTTCTGGGTTCTCTGGAAATTGATCCTGAGATGCTCTGCTGCTCTGAACTTGAGTACAGGTATTTTTAAACCTCTGTGGTGTCTGACTTCTTTCCTGAGTTATTTAAGAACTGGGGTGGGATCCCATGTCCTTCTCCCACAGGTGATTGGCCCGGTTCAGTTATCTTAAATTGCTGGACTTGGAGTACCAATCCAGGCAAGGCAGACTCTCTGTAAACCCACTGCCATCTGAAACCCATATGAGGGATGGGGAATGAGCCAGAACTGTGTCGGAAGAGAAGGAAAAGGGTGTGGTTCCCCTGGAATTCATCTTACGGCTGACCTTGAGGCATTCATTTGCAGCTCTCTCCAAGACAAATAACTGCCTTCCAGATTAATCATGCCAGATTCTGATTTAAAGCATTCTCTAGAATAGCATTCTTTGGTCTGCTGGTTCCCATACTTTTCTGGAGATTAAGGGGTAGAATTTACAATTCTTAAATGTAATTGGTCAATCCTCATGTTTACCATCTCCACCTTCTCCTCTGTAAAAGATAGCATTCGAGGATCAGTGTTGAACAGGCATCTCTCAGAGACAGGAATCAGACCAATGCATGTCTCAGGTTCCTGTTAGAGCTCTTCCGCAGAGGAAGTTGCCAGCCCTTCCATCTGTGCTTCACAGCCTATCCTTATGATTTATTTATTTTTATTTTTCAGTGCTATATTACAGTCTCCATTCAAGTTCACCTGTTTCCCATCTAGTAGTGATTTTAGGCGATATTAGCCAAAGCTTCTCTGTTCTGGCCAAACGATTCCTTCAATTAAGCCAAAATTCACTGAGGTTCTATAAAGTATCAAGTGCTGGGTCTTGATGAGACATATACCCCTAGTTCATTATACCTAAATGGAATAATCTGACATGTTTCCTCTCCTTTCTTATAAACACTTTATGATGAAAGCACTTGCTCTCCCACTGTGTGCTAGACTGAGAGCAGCTCATCTGTCTAGTGCAACTAAAAACATATGAGGCCCTGCCATGAGTTAGGTTATACTGTTACCTGTTGCTTCTCAAGTGAACTAGACAATGGACTTTGAGTAGTTTTCATTTGGGTAGAGCAACTGCATTTTACTGCCAGAGATGCAACTGTCTTTATTGCAATAAATAACAAGTTCAGAACTTTAGTAAAGAATACATACATACCCAGCAGGTAAATTCCTTGTAAGCGGATTTCTAAACTCTAGAATCAGACTGAACCAAGTTACCACGTTAAGCTTAGAAGGCTGAAGTTTTCATATTTACCAGCCTTGACTGTGTGGATTGTTAGTATCAGCCATATCTAAGAATCTCATATACTAGTGCAAAGAGAAATTATGAAATATCTGTTCTTTCAGTAGGTGCTTTGTCAGTTAAAAAGAGGAACACTGGGCCAGGCACGGTGGTTCATGCTTGTAATCCCAGCACTTTGGGAGGCCAAGGCGGGCGGATCACCTGAGGTCAGGAGTTTGAGACCAGCCTGCCCAACATGGCAAAACCCCATCTTTGCTAAAAATACAAAAAAACTAGCCAGGCGTGTTAGCAGACGCTTGTAATCCCAGCTACTCAGGCGACTGAGGCAGGAGAATCGCTTGAACGCAGGAGGCAGAGGTTGCAGTGAGCCGCTGCACTCCAGCCTGGGCAACAAGAGCAAAACTCCGTCTCAAAAAACAAAAGAGGGGGAAACACTGATCTTGCTTTTCTAAATAATTAGAGCTTCTCTTCTTCATTAGGTTATTTATGCGAATTAGCTGGAGTTAGATAAACAGTTCATTTACAGCACCAGAACCTAAGGTGTCTATTTCTACCAAGAAGAGACCCAAAAGCTGGGGTGGACTGGTTCTTAGATTCACTGAATTTTAAAGCTGGGGAGGACCAAGTGGATGATCTCCTCTCCATCCTTCCAATTATCCTACAAAGGCTGGCAGTACATGTGGCTTAAAAGTTAATGTAAACCCACATAGATGAACCTGGAGGACGTTATGCTTAATGAAATAAGCCAGGCACAGAAAGACAGATACCAGATGATCTCACTCATATATAGAATCTTAAATAGTTAATTTCATAGAACTAAAGAATAGAATGGGCTGGGGTGATTGCACTGGAGTGATATTTAGTCAAAAGATACAAAATTTCAATTACAAGGAATAGTTTAAGAGAGCTATTTACAACAATATGACTATAGTTAATAACAACTTATTGTATTCTTGACTAGTAGTAAGAGTGGCTAAGTGTTCTTACCACAAAAGTGCTAAGTATGTGAGGTAACGCATATGTTAATTAGCTAGATTCATTCATCCTACGATGTATATATACTTCCAAACATCATGTTGTTCATATTAAATACATACAATTTTATCTTTCAGTCTAAAAAAAATTCATTCATAACGTCTGTCAAAAAAAAAAAAGTTGGCCAGGCACGGTGGCTCACACCGGTAATCCCAGCACTTTGGGAGACTGAGGCAGGCGGATCTCAAGGTCAGGAGTTTGAGACCAGCCTGGCCAACATGGTGAAACCCCGTCTCTACTAAAAATGCAAAAATTACCCAAGCATGGTGGTGCATCCCTGTAATCCCAGCTACTCAGTGGGTTGAGGTAAGAGAATCACCCCAACCCAGGAGGCAGAGGTTGCAGTGAGCCAAAATTGTGGCAGTGCCCTCCAGCCTGGGCGACAGAGCAAGACTCTGTCTCAAAAAAAAAAAAAAAATGTTAATGTAAACCCTGTTTCTTTACATCCTCTAATAGGCTTGAACAGACCACATCAAAATGCCATCTCAAATGGAACATGCCATGGAAACCATGATGTTTACATTTCACAAATTTGCTGGGGATAAAGGCTACTTAACAAAGGAGGACCTGAGAGTACTCATGGAAAAGGAGTTCCCTGGATTTTTGGAAGTAAGTGTTAAAAGGCTTACAAAGAACCAGACATAAAAACCAATACTTCTAGGCCCTGGTTCCTTTTCCTTCTTGTTTCCATCCCTTCCCTGTGGAGGTCACTATTAGAAAGGTGTTTTCATTCATTTATTAAATAGTATTTAGTACCTGCTATTTGTACGATACTGTTGGGGAAACAAAGTGACAGAGACAAAGCCCTGACCTTCAAGGAGCTTACAGTCTGCAGGCGAAATAAGACCACATACAAATAACCACAATATGAGCTGTTTGTTGGAAAATTCCATCTGGTTATCTGTGTCGATTGTGATGGTGTGGGGGACAGAGTCAGGAGAAAGAAGGCTTTTCACAAAAGAGTAGACAACAAGAAATGGCTAGCCCCAGGTCCAAAAACCTGGTGGTGGGAGATGCCACATCCTGGTCACATTCCATTTTGAACCACATGAATCTCCCTTCTTAAGTCTCTTCAGATAAAGGGATTGTTTTTTCTTTTTCTAATACTACAAAGGAGCAATGTCAGTCATCTACTGATTAGGAGCCACACATCACTCCAGAAATAACTGCTTTTCACCTAATAATGCTCTGAGAACACAGGAGCAGTTTGAGTTTATGCCTCACCGTTGACAGACTGAGAGATGCATGAAGACTAAAAGAGGACTCTGCCATCAGCTCAGACACATCACTCAGGACATGGGGCCACAAGGCATAGTTGTCCTTTTGCATTGCAGGTTCTTGAGACGTGGCTGTTGAATTCAACTAAAGGTGAAACATTGCATGACAAAATAGTAGACTGAAAGGCAAGCCCTTCTTTCCCTGCCACAACTGTGGTCACCTAAAAAGATGGTTTCCGTGCTTGGTGTTGAATAATGCATTAACCTCTAAAGGGCGAGAGGGGATGCTGGTAAAAGGCTGGGTCTTGCCTCTTGTTATCTGCCTGGTAAATTGCACATTAGTCAACCCCCTGACTCCTGCAATCAATAAACATGAGGCTTTTTAGTATACTATAATTTGCATGTCATCAATATCAGTTAAATAAATAGATATAAAAAGCCTAACTACTCTCTCAGAGCTGCGGTTACCTAATGCTATCCCAGAATCAGCTAGAATATGCAGGTCCTCTGCTTTTGTAGAGTCCCATGATACAGCCCCAGAACAGGAGTTAGAAGATCTGGCTCTGCCTTAACTAAAAATGAGCAGGTTGCATCAGCTCCCTAGTCCTCAGCTTCCCCCCCTGTAAAATTAGAGATGGCTGAACATAATTATCCAAAACGTCACTTTGACCTTCTATGATCATTCAAGCCAAGCATTAAGGTGCAAGGACAAAATGTGTTCATTGTAAGCCTGCCCATCCCATGGACAAAGGCATTCTCAGTACACTAAACACTTGTTTAGAGTGTTAGAAGCCAGAGTGAATATCACATAAGACACAGACCTTTTCTTCCTAAAGGCTTTGTGGCATGAGACACATAAAAGGTATACGTAGTGTGGAGCACTGAATACAGCAGGGTCATTTATTCCAGGCACAGGGTCATAATTCTGCAAACACCTACACTCACTGCATTAACAGAACATTTTGTTTCTAAAGTAGACCCCTTATGTCATCCAGATTTCACTCATTCCAACCACAGTCAGGAAGCTGAGGGTGAGGCCAGAATTAGCTGAAACCCACCAACAGCTGCACAGAGCAGGTTTAGCGAGAATAGGAGTTTGCAGTGCTCATGTGGGAAATGCTGCTGCTACACTTTCAGGAATTTCCAAGTGCAATTTAGAAACACCGAGCACACTTGAAACACTGAGTGTAATTTCCCTCACTCATGAATATAGTCATCAGAATTCATAAATACTTTACCTAAGCCCTTTAACAACCTCAGACAAGCCATATTTCTCTCTGTTGTTGATGGCATGGAGGAGAAACCACAACCTCCCACTTCCGACCAGCATCACTACAAAAAGGAATGATGAAGTCACTATGGAACCAAGATGAAAACAAAGGGGATCTTGCCTGCCCATCTCCCACACATTCTTTTTTTTTTTTTGAGACGGAGTCTCGCTCTGTTGCCAGGCGCCAGGCTGGAATGCAGTGGCGCGATCTCGGCTCACTGCACCCTCCGCTCCCGGGTTCAAGCAATTCTCCTGCCTCAGCCTCCCGAGTAGCTGGGACTACAGGCGCGCCCCACCACGCCCAGCTAATTTTTTTGTATTTTTAGTAGAGACGGGGTTTCACCATGTTGACCAGGATGGTCTCGATCTCTTGACCTCGTGATCCGCCCGCCTCTGCCTCCCAAAGTGCTGGGATTACAGGCTTGAGCCACTGCACCTGGCTGCCCCACACATTCTACCAGGCACTGAGAGTCATGGGGAGTTTAAGACTCCATCATATATACTCCTTTTGAAGCCGGTCCAATATACAACATCCAGCAAAGAGTATAGGATGGCATTAAACTTACCAACTCAAAGAATGGAAGGATTCTACAAACATTATAGTCCAACCTCTTCAATTCATAGTTGATACGCAAAGGCCCACCAAGCTGTGTGGTTCACTCAGTGTCACACGGCTAATATGATATGAAGCTGCACTAGGTTGGCCTCAGCTGTGCCAAGAAGAATGCGAGCTGTCTTCTCCAAACCTAAAACGACCCATGGCATCATTAATACCTCTTTAAAATCCATAGGACAATGATCCAAAACTTACTCCCTAAATCATAAAGATCTTTTCATGAGGAGTTCTCTTTTTAAGGGATTTGACCATGCAATTAGGAATAAAATTTTAATAAGATAATGTAAGTAAGCCTGGCGCAGTGGCTCACGCCTGTAATCCTAGCACTTTGGGAGGCCAAGGTGGGTGGATCACCTGAGGTCAGGAGTTCAAGACCAGCCTGGCCATCAGAGTGAAACTCCATCTTAAAAAAAAAGAGAATGTAAGTTTAAACCACAAAATGAGGAGTTTAGGGTGGTTCTTAGGCAGAATCTAAATATGAAATTACTAAAATGCTCCCTCAAGGCAAAAAAAGAAAAATACATTTAGATGACCTCCAAAGGTCACTTATGACCTAAAACAAGAGCTCAAATAATTGGGAGATGTGTACACAGCTCTCAGCAGTGCAGATCAAATAAGCTCATCACTGCAACCTTTGACTGATATTTCTTGCCTTTGTTCTTTTTTTCTTTTTTTTCAGAATCAAAAAGACCCTCTGGCCGTGGACAAAATAATGAAGGACCTGGACCAGTGCAGAGATGGCAAAGTGGGCTTCCATCGCTTCTTTTCCCTAATTGTGGGCCTCACCATTGCATGCAATGACTATTTTGTAGTACACATGAAGCAGAAGGGAAAGAAGTAGGCAGAAACGAGGAATTCCCCTGGCCCTGATAACAGTTGTCCCAAAGGGTCACTTAAGGAATCTGCCCCACAGCTTCCCCCATGTAAGGATTTCATGAGCAGATCAGGACCCTTAGCAAGTGTACAAATAAAATCTAACTCCCATCTGATAAGCAGAGAAAGAAAAGTTAAATGCCAGACAAGCTTTTGATTTTTGTATTGTTTGCATCCCCTTGCCCTCAATAAATAAGTTCTTTTTTAGTTCTGAATTTGAGTTAGAATGTTTGTTGCTCTTTCAGAAATGCTTGTTCCCCAAGAGGCACCTTGCCCTTGGGCAGCTAGCACACAGCAGAGCTTTCCCACAGAACTGGCAAAATGAGAAAACATTCTTCATTCAGGCTTGGAGTCTGACTTCTCTAATTGCTCTGCCCTTGTAGCTGTGTCTATATGAAGAACTCAAAGAATTGGGAGAAGGAATATATTTTCTAAGTTTATAGTTATTGGGCACAGTTTTGCCCAGTTAAATCAGTGCTTTTCTAGCCAGCACTGTGCATTCCTACAATGGCTGAATTCATTTTTCATAGCAAAGTGTCAGCAAACCTAGGGCAAAAATAGAACCAAAGGAGAAGAGGGTAGCCTGACACCTTGGTGATCCATCACATTAGCATCTATTAAGTCAACTCCCAGATGTCAGGAAATATGGTAAGCATGACTCATACAGGGCAGTGCACTTTTGTTGAAAATGAAGTGTCAGTACTGATGTCTTAACAGATAATAAATGCAAAATGTTTCTCCCAGGCCTTTTCTGTGCCTGTTAAAAGGTTCAGGGTATATGTGCATCACATGCTATATGTTTATTAATAACACAGTACTCTATACTTTTATGGAGAGGTGATATATGAATTCCATGAATTGGCACATGGCATTGTTCCGAGTAAATAGGTCAAAGAAGATGGAATCTTTACTTCTATGATTGGACATGTCAATATAACTGGGGAAAACTTCCATCACACTCTGGGAAAAAGTACAATATAAGGTTCTCTATAATCACAAGGAAAAGCATGCAAAAAAGGACAGGATAGTTCAAAACTGGCTTTGATAGAAAGAAGTTCATAATAAAATCAAAGTCAAGGAAAACATTCCAGCCATTTTATTTTGTCTCAGTCAACAAATGAACAATGTAAAACAAATTATAGCTTTGCAGCTGAAGCATTATATGAGCAAGTTTACAAAGGGGGATTTATTACAGAAGTATTAATGGAGTACTAAGGAGGGAAGTTGACTAGTGAGAGGAAGTGACTCTAGGTTGACTCCAGGAATGACTTCCAAATCCATGCCACAGAACTGGGCCACCAAGGAGCTGCTGGCTCAGGAAGCTGCCTGCTGAATGAGGAGCCATTGCCACAGCTGGCTGCTCCAGAACCACACAACTGTGGCAGTCTGCACAAGCAAACACACATCCCCACGGCCCTCCCGCTTTCCACACATGGCTGGGTTCTCACATCCAAGTCTCAACAAAGTGCATCTAACCGGCAGAGCCTCAACCACAAATTCCTAACTGCAAGGGACTCTGGGAAATAAAGTTCTAACATTTTCCAACCTTTGCACACTAGCGGCTGATTCTACCACAGTGACAATTCCTAATCCCACGTGAAGTCTTCCAACCTGGAGATTAAAGAAATCGTGGCTCTAAGCAAAGGAGGCTCTGGAAGATAACGTCTGTAATAGATACAGAGACCAAAAAAACAAACAAACTGGCCCATCACAGTAAGGCAAACAATTTCACGTCCATGAGAATTTGTGTCAGCCCAGATTCACCCCTGTGGTCTACCTGCCTCTTGGGCAACTGCGTTTACTGGGTATTATGAAGATTAGTGGCCAACTCACAAATGAACAGGGAAAATTATAAGAGGGAGATATTATTATGCGCTCACGTGTCCTGAAATCCGCAGCAACCTTTCACACTCGAAGAGCCTCTTTTGCCTGAAAACAAAAGCAGAATTATCCCAGGAGGAGGGGGGCTCTCAGGGTAGGAGAAAGAAAGCATCAACTCATCTTCACAGTGGGCATGTAGATTCAGAAAAATTCTGAAGCAATGTGTTGTTCCCAGCAGATTACCCCAGACTCTCATTCAGAAAGGTGCCCAGTGCCAAGGAATTGAAAGATAACAGATAAAGCAGATGGTGGGCGTGGTGGCTCAAGCCTGTAATCTCAGCACTTTGGGAGGCTGAAGCGGGCAGATCACCTGAGGTCGGGAGTTCCAGACCAGCCTGACCAACATGGAGAAACCTAAAAACACATGGAGAAACTCCACTAAAAACACAAAATTAGCTGGGCATGGTGGCGCATGCTTGTAGTCCCAGCTACTCGGAAGACTGAGGCAGGAGAATCTATATTTGGAATGGATGTATATGTGTGTTGAGGAGAAGGGTTATGACACTTTCCTCACTTTGACCTCATTGCTCAAAACATTTAGTAGGGAGCTGTATGAGGAAAATAAAAACAGTATTTATGGCTTGAAATCCCATGTGGCTCTTTGTGCCAACAAAAACACAGAGATCCCACAATCTGACCTGCTGAAACTGCTGTCTAGGCTTCAGGGATTGCAGCCCAATGACTCCCAGGGGGCAAAGCTGCCATTATCCCAACAGTCATCAAGAGGAACCATCTGGAAAATTCCATTCATTCTGCTACTTGGCTGAGTTGTAAAAAGTAGATCCCACCCCTCCCCACACCCAGTTATGAAGGAAGAATGAACAGCAGTGCAGAAAGTCAGTTTCAAACATGCTGCAGAGCTGACCCTGAAAAACAGATCATTTTTCTCTCTTGCACCTACTCCCTTGTCCAAGTCCCCTGAACAGCAGTCAACTACCTGTGATTTAATACTTTTCTACCTAACCCATCTCACTAGGAGACCAAGGACAAGTCTGCAAACCTCTCTATTTCAAATCTGACCAATTTGAAAGTGATTGTTCAAGTCCCTTCTCCAGCTCTTAACCCCACAGGGATAGTTGTGAATAGAAATCAATTCACTTGGCAAATATTGATAAGGGCCACTATGTGAATGGCACCAAGCAATGTTCTGTATAAAGGCAGGTACAAAGAAGCAGATGGCCACAGTGCCTGCTCAAGAAGATTACAATCTAGACTGAAAGATAATAGATAAAGCAGACGGGTGCTGTGGCTCACATCTAATCCCAGCACTTTGGGAGGCCGAGGCGAGCAGATCACCTGAGGTCGGGAGTTCCAGACCAGCCTGACCAACATGGAGAAACCCCGTCTCTACTAAAAATACAAAATTATCCAGGCATGGTGGCACATGCCTGTAATCCCAGCTACTCAGGAGGCTGAGGCAGGAGAATCACTTGAACCGAGGAGGCAGAGGTTGTGGTGAGCCAAGATCGTGCCATTGCACTCCAGCCTGGGCAACAAGAGTGAAACTCCATCTCAAAAAAAACAATAGTAATAGATAAAGCAGACAAAAAATTACCTAACAACAGAGCACTGGCAAGGGTGACATGTGATAGGCACCTCTGGTCACTGTTGATATGTACGTAATTTATATAACCTTTCAGTAAGGCCAAAGTTGGCAATATGCACCTGCATCCTTTAATGTGTGTTTTTTTGGACCCACTATTTCTAGTCCTAAGAGTTTCTCTTGGCAAAGTAATCAAAGATACTTAAAATATTCATATACAAAGATATTTGATGCAGCATTATTCAGAATAGCTAAAACCTAAAGAAAACCTCAATGTCCAGCAATAGGGCAATAGGGTCATGGCTAAACAAGTTATGTTTAGATTGTTTAGATGTACATTGAATGCTATATGGCCCATCAAAATCACTTTGAAAAATATTAAATGAGATGGAGAAATGTCTGTGTAAAGTAAAGCAGACTTCAAAATTGGTATATAATAGGATTCCTTTCTTTTCTAAATATGCATGTCTGCTTGAGTGCATGCCTGCACACACACAGATAGAGAGACAGACAGAGAGGCTAAAGGGAATACACCCCGCTGTGTTTAGGTTCCAGAGTAGGAGTTACTGGCTGGGGAAATTGTTGCTCCAGAAAGATGTTTATGAGAGGATTTTAATTTTCTTTATATACAGTGCTATGTCATCTAAATTTTCTATACAATTCTTTCCTAGCCCATCTACATGTACTTGCACTTTCACAATCCATAAAATTTTAAATGATATATTTTGAAAGAGCATGTGTATTTATTGAGGGTCTACCATGAGTCAGGACCTGTATGAGGACTTTTTAAGCATTCGTCTTACTTGGACCTCATAATAACCCTATTAAGGTATTATAATACTATAATACCCATTTTACAGATGACAAAACTAAGACTTAAACTCCCTCAAAGTCCCACAGCACTTATTGTTTCAAGATTTAAACCCAGATATCAAGATAGTCTCTCTATCTGTGTTATTCTTTCAAAAAAGTAAGAGATTTTGTGGGTTAGATGAGGCTAGGAGAGAAGATTTTGTGTAAGAGGTAAGATGTTATCTGGTCTTTGAAGATTGGAAGCAATTTGGATTTAGATTCAGCTAACATTAATTGAGCTCTCACTACATTGCAGGCTCTGTTCTAGTGCTTCACCAACATTAACTCATTTGTCCCTCCCAACAACTATGAGGTAGGTACTATTACTGCTTCTACTTTACAGGTGATTTGACCAAGGTGGAGGCAGGATTTGAAGACAGGCCGTCTAAGATTTTAGCCACTCTTCTCTGCTGCATCCCTGGACATAGTAATGATGGGATGTCCAGGACGCAGAATACTCAGGAGGCCATGTAGAATCCAGCATGTCTAAAGTGGTGTGTGTTCCCAGCAGAAAGTGTGTGTAGGTGGGATAGGGCAGGCGTGAGGTGTTAACAAAATGATAAATGAAAATAACAAAGGATATGTTGTGGATGAGGTTGCTCAATAAAAATCTCTACAGGTCCCAGGTTTGGGTTATTACTACTTCTTCGGGAAAAAGAGATGGCCCTTGTCTAAAAGGAGACAATCAGATAGTCAGTATGTTCCCGTGAATGTTCAACCCACTTTTCTCCATTGCTCACATTCCAATCACATTCTGGCTACAAAAGATAAAGCAGGGTGGGGATTCACATTTAGCTTTCTGAGAAGGGAAAAAATGTGACCTCTGGCAAGCCAAGCCGAAATTGAGAGGGAAAAAGAATCAAGATGATAGGGCCACAGCGTCTAGGTGAGAAAGGCCTCTGACAGAACATTAGTTCATCTGGTGTCCCACTGAGATTCCAACTCATCTGGAAAATGGTATGTTCACTCTAACGGGAGCTCATATATATTTTTTAAATGCACGAAGGTGGGAATTAGCTAGACGTGCTGGTGCATGCCTACATTCCCAGCTACTTGGTAGGCTGAAGCAGGAGAATCGCTTGAACCCAGGAAGTGGAGATTGCAGTGAGCCAAGATCTTGACACTGTACTCCAGACTGGCGACAGAGTGAGACTCCATCTCAGAGAAAAAATAATAAATGCATGAAAGTGGGCAAAGTCTGGAAGGAGTTATATAAAATGAAAATAAATTTCATAACTTGAAACTAGTCATGTTATCAACATTTTCTTTAACATCGTTACATTGTCCTTTCAACAAGGGGGGAAATAATTTCAGTTAGCTCTCTGGACACAGAACTTGACCTGCTCAGTGGAAAAATCATATTTGCCATGTTACCCAAAGCAGCTAATCGATGAGTAGCCCCTGCATTGCAGGCTCTTCCTGCAAAAGCTCAGGCTACTCCCTTCAATCTCTTCTGGGCATTTCCATTAAGGCTCTGATGAACATGAAGAGCACTTAGCCTCAAGCCTATTTTTCTAGAAGGAGGAGGGGAGTGACTCAGCTTTGCTCTCTGCAGGGATGATGACTCTGCTCTGTCCTGCCCCACTCTGGGACGGGACAGCACGGTGAGTCAGTGCACATAGTCAAGTGTCTTGGTCATATTACAAATTTACAAATTGAAATTTCTCTTCAATGATGTGATTTAAAGCACCATAGAAAGTTGCAAATTACATAGAAAATGTGGTCACTGGCATACAAAGTTTATAGTCTCGTGCAGTAAGACCGCATTGAAAGCAACAATACTTGACAATATATGCGAGTT